CCCGTCTCTACTAAAAATACAAAAAATTAGCTGGGCATGGTGGTGCATGCCTGTAATCCCAGCTACTCAGGAGGCTGAGGCAGGAGAATTGCCTGAACCCAGGAGGCGGAGGTTGCGGTGAGCCGAGATCGCGCCATTGCACTCCAGCCTGGGTAACAAGAGTGAAACGAAACTCCGTCTCAAAAAAAAAAAAAAGAAAAGAGTCTGATCAAGTACTGGCAAGGAAGTACACAAATGAGTATTCTCATAGCCTACTGGAGGTATATTAGCTATAGAAAACAATTTGCTATTACCTAGGAAAGTTTAATGTGGCTATTCCCTAAAATAGAGTGACTCCATTCCAAAGAATCCCAGGACATTGTTACTCAATAAATCACTGTTGGCATTTTGGTGAAACAATCTGTGCTTTAAATTTCATTCTAGTTGTCATCCCTTTCTCCTGCCCACTTGACAAGTGAAATGCCCCTCAATCACTAACAATGAAAATATCTCCATAATTTCTAAATATCACTTAAGAGGTCAGTGCTAAACCTGGCTAAGAACTATCATACCAAAGAAACTCTTAGACATACGTATCCAGAACATGTTCATATCAGTATGTGCATAATACAAAAAAACTGGAAATTAAGTCTATTAGAGAGTAAGTTGTAGTATATGTATACAATGGAACATTCTATATTATTTCTATAATATAGAAATAAAAATGAATCACAAAAATAACAAAAGGCAGGTTCTGAATTATACATAACATGATTCCATTTAAACAAAGAAATAAATAAAACTAAATGATAATCATTCAGAAATATATATGTGATAAAACTATAAAGAAATAAGTGAATAATCAATTTCAGTATAGTGGTTCCCTCTGGAGAGAAGAATATGCAACTGAGGCCAGGCATGGCAGCTCATGCCTGTAATCCCAGCACTTTGGGAGGCTGAGGTGGGAGAAACACCTGAGGTCAGGAGTTCTAGACCAGTCTAGCCAACATAGCAAAATCCTGTTTCTCCTAAAAATATAAAAATTAGCCAGGAGTGGTAGCACATGCCTGTAGTCCCAACTACTCAGGAGGCTGAGGCAGGAGAATTGCTTGAACCCAGGATGGAGAGCTTGCAGTGACCTGAGATCGCGCCACTGTACTCCCAGCCTGAGAGACAGAGCAAGACTCTCTCCTAAAAAAAAAAAAAAAAGAATATGCAATTGAGGAAATACTCACAGGACTTCTGTTTCTTCTGCTCAGTGGTAGACACACTGGTATTTATTATTTTTCTTTAAACTGTACATACTCTACAGTATACAATTTTTAAAAGTTAAAATTGAAACTTTCTATGTAATATGTTAACAACATGCAGAAGCAGCTACAAAGATGTGTATTAAAAGCAATAATGTAGTGTCTTTCCCTGCCTGGTATTCCTATTGTTTGTAAATGAGCAGAAAAATGAATGAAGCTGCTGATATATAGTGCTAATCCTGGACCACACCTCTTCAGTATCCTCTTAAACTTAACTTGTACTCCCCTCATACTATTTTCTGGTTAAGATGATATCATAAGCCAAGAAAATGAGTATGTATCATCTTGCATAATTGAGAAAAACTATATATTCCATATACGTACTTACTAGGTAGCAAATTCTTAAGTTTTCAGGTTTATACCATAATTAAGAGCATATAGCATGTATTGTCATTTATTACAATTTTACTAAATGCTTACTATGTATCAGCCCCAGAGAGTGGAAAAATAGGTAAAATATATTCTTGCTCTTAAAGAAGCTCACCACACAGGAACAGAAAGGCAGGGAGAGGAAACTGTGAGTAAACAAGTACTACTCAGTACAATTAATACTGCAATAGATTTAAGGAGAAATAAGGAGGTTGCCAATTGAAGATAAGGCACAAGATTTCATAGAGAAGCTACAACTTGTAGAGTTGTGAGGAATTTCCTAAGCAGATTTGGGAATAAAGGCATTCCTCAAAAAGAGACCAACATAATCATAGGACAAAAGCATAATCATAGGACAAAAGTCAAGGAACTAAAAGACATATCTAAAACACTGTTAGTAATCTGAAGTAAATGGAGAAGGGTAGGGAATGCCTAGAGAGTTTGTGTTTTAACTTATAGACAACACCGCAAAGGATTGCAAGCAGTAAATCTGCGATTTTACAAAAGATTGCTTTGGCAACAAGGTAGCCAATGGACTGCAAAGGGTGGTGTGGAGAATCTGTAAAGGGATATAATCAGAGAAAAAAACTTTTATGTTAATTCAGAGAAGAGAGGAGAACCTAAGAAGGTAATCACACAGAGAAGAACAGAGAGATCAAATCTCACAGTTTTTTGAAAGACAGAATTAAAAACAATAATGACAAAAGGAATAGAGTAAGAAAAAGATGTCACTGAAATTGAGACACAATGGTTAAAAAGGTAGACAGGAGGCCGGGCGCAGTGGCTCAAGCCTGTAATCCCCGCACTTTGGGAGGCCGAGGCGGGTGGATCATGAGGTCAAGAGATCGAGACCATACTGGTCAACATGGTGAAACCCTGTCTCTACTAAATATACAAAAAAATTAGCTGGACATGGTGGCACATGCCTGTAATCCCAGCTACTCAGGAGGCTGACGCAGGAGAATTGCCTGAACCCAGGAGGCGGAGGTTGCGGTGAGCAGAGATGGTGCCATTGCACTCCAGCCTGGGTAACAAGAGCGAAACTCCATCGCCAAAAAAAAAGGTAGACAGGAATCAGAATGGCATTAACAAAAGTCAAAGACAGCTTTTCAAGAAGGGAGGGGTCAATAATCTGACACAGCAAGCATGAGTAGAATACAACTGATCACTGGATATGGCATTTAGGAAATCACTGGTAATCTGTCAGCAGTTTCAGTGAAGTGGTGGGACAGAAGCAGCCTGACTGAAGCAAACTCAAAAGTGAAGTAGTGCTAAGGAGGATGATTTTTTTCCAGAGAGGTTAAGAGATACGCTTTTAAATGCAAGACTTGAACATACTTTTTGGCTGCACTGAAAGGTTGAAAATATGGGAAAGACAAAGGATAACTGGTGGAGAAAGTCTCAGAGTAGATACGAAGGGACGGAAAGGATCACACAAGCAGTGAAACCGTACAGGAAAAGAAAAAAAAATCTTTCTTACTATGAGAAAGGGATATTAAGGCACAAGACTATTAATTCAGCAAACATTTATTGAATATTTGCCATATACCAGTTACTGTGCAAAGTGCTAGGGGATACAAATGAGTAACTCAGTCCCTGACTTCAAAGAGTTTGCAGCTGGCTGGCCGCAGTGGCTCACGCCTGTAATCCCTGCACTTTGGGAGGCCGTGGTGGGCAGATCACGAGATCAAGATATCAAGACTATCCTGGCCAACACGGTGAAACCCCATCTCTACTAAAAATACAAAAAAATTAGCCAGGCATGGTGGCACCGGCCTGTGGTCCCAGCTACTCGGGAGGCTGAGGCGGAAGAACTGCTTGAACCCAGGAGGCAGAGGTTGCAGTGAGTCAAGATTGCGCCACTACACTCCAGCCTGGTGACAGAGCAAGACTCCATCTCAAAAAAAAAAAAAAAAAAAAAAGAGTTTGCAACTTAGTGGGCAAAATACCGTAACTGTTATATGTTCTGAATACAAATACACCACTGTGGAAAGGCCAGAATGGTAGCACAGAGGTTAGAGGAAGGGCTGGAATTTCAGGGAGCTTCTGCCTGACACTTTTTCTGGGACACAGATAAAGTTATCTGCCAAGTGTTTTTAGGGGTGGAGGGGTATTAGGCAGTATGTAGAAAGGGAAAAATGTTCAAAACAGCTGCCCAGATAAAACAACAGCAAATTGTATACAAGATTTGTATGTCCTGGGCACTATAAAAAGTGCTTTTATACATATTTCCTCTTTGATTTTCAAAACAATCCTATTATTTTCATTTTACCAAGAAGAAAACCTAAGACTTCAAGATTAAAAACTGCGAAACTGGAAACTTTTTCATAGTAGCAACAATTGACATAATTGTATCATTTTCTTCTGCCTGTCTTTTAGACTATGAATAGCAAGTAATCCAGCATCCTGGGTTTACAGGGTTAGGGATGGTACATCAGAAGGACGAGGGAAGTGAGGAGTTAAAGGAATGGGGAAATTGGAAAGAAAATGATTCAAACAGTCGATCATTGGAATGATGGCTCTGGGAAACAAAGGTAAGGGAGACTTGGGGGGAGAAAATGAAGGAATCAAGGAATTTTAGAATATTGACCAGTAGAAAGAAAATTATTAGTAAAACACAAAGTAGAATAGGATTTTTAAAATATCATTGATGAAAGCATTTAAAGTGATGAATGGCCCATAGCACTGAGGTCACATATCTAGTAAATGCTGTTTAAACAAACTCAGATCTGTTTCCAGTTTCAATGTTACTACTCCACAGGTAGGTCTATATGTTACGAACTTTTACCCATCAATATTTCGACTTAAAACAAATTATGAAATTCCCTGCCTATTTAAAAAAGCATGCATATCAATTTAGCCTTTCCTTAAGTACTTTATCATTATTATCAACATACTGAAATATAAGTGCTTTTCTGGATGGATATTCTTCATCTCTTCCTTTGAGGCAGCTTTAAATTTTTCACTGTAGTCAGTATACCTCTACTACTTCTGATTTGCTAGAACATGAAACATAAATGTTTCCAATAAAAACTGGGTGACAAAACCAAAAAGCTTAACCAAAATACTTATATCATCTAAGGATGATTTTCATTTCTTTTTGTGGATTAAAGACTGGAGTCATGGCAGGGTTTTTATACTTTGGAATAGATGAGATAACCCAAAATTACTCAACAACTTGGCTAACTGGGGTTCTACATACGACTGTCTTGCCAATTAACACTGAAATTTACTATCACATAAAACACTATATTAAAAAGTTTTTCTTAATATGAAGTGTTACTCATTCTTTTTCAGCAGATTTGTAGAACACTCACAAGCACTTCTAATGATCATCATTACCTCTTTTTTGGCTTCTTTTTTGGGATCATAATCACTATCATTCCCATCCATTGGATGCGGTTCTTCTACATCATCATCACTGAAACAAAAATTAGTATACTTAATTCCCTCCTTTTTTTAAAAAAAAAATTTTTTTTGAGACAGCGTTTCACTCTTGTTGCCCAGGCTGGAGTGCAACAGCGCAATTTGGGTTCTAGCAATTCTCTCACCTCAGCCTCCAAAGTAGCTGGGATTACAGGCACCCGCCACCACGCCCAGCTAATCTTTGTTTTTTTTTTTTTTTTTTTTTTTTTAGTAGAGACAGGGTTTCACCATGTTGGCCAGGCTGGTCTTGAACTCCTGGCCTCAAGTGATCCACCCGCTTCAGCATCCCAAAGCACTGGGATAACAGTCATGAGCCATAGTGCCCGACCAACTCCCTTCTTTTTATTGTATTCTAGTGTTCTTATCAAACTGTAATACATCTTAGTAATTTTACTAAATATTATTTAACAGAATAACAGTTGTACTTGGGAAGATGAGCTTTTAATTCACTTTTCTGCAGTATTCAGAAACACTTATCTCATGGGGTATACAGTATCATTTTAGCAAACACTTCCAGGTCAAAAACAGAGACCCAATGAGAAAGGGATTTAAAAAGAAGTATCACTTGGGAAATGGGAACACATACGATTTAATACTTAAATTTCAGTTCTCCAATCGAAGAATGAAGACAGACAAAAATGAAACAAAATAATTTTATACTATCAAAAGATTTAGCCTCAATAATAAGGATCACAGTTACTCAGGTAATTAATTATCAAAAGAGCTTCTTTCACAGAATATATACTTTTTTTTGAGATGGAATCTTGCAGTGTTGCCTGGGTGAGACTACAATGGTGCAATCTCAGCTCACTGCAACCTCTGCCTCCTGGGTTCACACGATTGTCCTTCCTCAGCCTCCCAAGTAGCTGGGATTACAGGTGCAAACCACTACACCTAGCTAATTTTTTGTGCTTTTTTTTTTTTTTTTGAGACAGAGTTTCGCTCGTTACCCAGGCTGGAGTGCAATGGCGCGATCTCGGCTCACCGCAACCTCCGCCTCCTGGGTTTAGGCAATTCTCCTGCCTCAGCCTCCTGAGTAGCTGAGATTACAGGCATGTGCCACCATGCCCAGCTAATTTTTTTTGTATTTTTAGTAGAGATGGGGTTTCACCATGTTGACCAGGATGGTCTCGATCTCTTGACCTTGTGATCCACCCGCCTCGGCCTCCGAAAGTGCTGGGATTACAGGCTTGAGCCACCGCGCCCGGCCATTTATCGTGCTTTTAATAGAGACAGGATTTCACTATGTTGGCCAGACTTGGCCAGCTCCTGACCTCGTGATCTGCCTGCCTCAGCTTCCCAAGTGCTGGGATTATAGGCGTGAGCCACCACACCCCAGCCAGAATATATTCTTTAATACATTCTAAATATGTGTATTGAATATATCAATACTAAAAGGAAGCACCTGTGATTAAAATTAAAAGAGGTAAAAGAGCTCTTCATATTAAAACTTTAACCACTTGGCTCTTCTTGTCAGAACAGAAACATGAATGTAAGAATATGAAATATTTACAGTGTGTTATGATAACTTTTCAGCCTTAGGAAATGTAAGCAATCAAATGTAGTGCCCCTAACAATGTAACTATATAAAGGTAACCAACATACCTGTCACCCTGATTATGTCTATTGGCTAGTTTACGAGCCTGGCGATCCATCAAACTTGTCCGAGAGCGAGTTTTTTTCCAGGAATAGTAATATTTTACAAGGCTTGCAATTGTCTTATCTGGAAGCTTAAAAAAAAATCATGTTAATATCAGCAAGTTTAACTTAAAAACAAAATGAATATTTTTAATGATATTCTTTATTAATAAAGGCATAAATAAAAAATATTTCATGGGTACCTTTTATGAATTATAGAGCTAAAAAGTACTGTTACAGTCAGTATTTCATATCAGTTTCACTGACATTTCTAAATGAATAGTCATTCCTATTTGTTCAGGGACAGGAGCAAAAAAGGTCAAACTAACTTGGTGAGAATGTCCCCAGAAGTCCCCAGCACAGCCATGTCAGTATTCAATATATGCTTTCCTTAAAGAGCTATTCAATTACTTTTTTCTCCTGTGTAAACTGGACTTTTTTTTTTTTTAGATATAATTCACATAAAATAAACTTCACTATTTTAAGTGTATATAACTTAGTGGTTTTGATGAATTCACTAACTTGTACAATCACCACCTCTATCTAATTCCAGAACATTTTCATATTCTCAAAAAGAAATCCTGTACCTGTTAGCAGTCATTCCCTATTCTCCCCCTCCACCAGTTCCTAGCAACCATTAACCTACTTTCTGTCTCTATGGATTTGCCTACTCTGGACGTTTCACATAAAGGGAATCATATACAGCCGGGCATGGAGGCACATGCCTATAATTCCAGCACTTTGGGAGGCCGAGGCAGGTGGATCACTAGGTCAAGAGATCAAGACCATCCTGATCAACATGGTGAAACCCCGTCTCTACCAAAAATGCAAAAATTAGCTGGGCATGGTGGGGTCACTTGCAGTCCTAGCTACTTGGGAGGCTGAGGCAGGAGAACTGCTTGAACCCAGGAGGTGGAGGTTGCAGTGAGCAGACATCGTGCACTTCAGCCTGGGTAACAAGAGTGAAATTCCGTCTCAAAAAAAAAAAAAAAAAGGGAATCATATAATATATGACCTTTTGTGTCTTGCTTCTTTCATTTAGCAAGATGTTATAAAGAAAAGCTATTCTTTTGTTTTTTTTTTTTCAGACACAGTCTTATTCTGTCACCAGGCTGGAATGCAGTGGCGCCATCTCGGCTCACTGCAAACTCCAACTCCCTGGTTCAAGCAATTCTGCCTCAACCTCCTGAGTTACTGGGATTACAGGCACACACCACCACACCCAGCTAATTTGTGTATTTTTAGTGAGATGGGGTTTCACCATGTTGGCCAGGATAGTCTCCATCTCCTGACTGCATGATCCGCCCGCCTTGGCCTCCCAAAGTTATGGGATTACAGGCTGAGCCACTGTGCCCAGCCAAAGCTATTCAGTTCTTAACAATGAAGGTTTTTGAATCATTTTCTTTTAAATCCAGGTCTTAAAATGGTAAATAATGCAAAGAGGCTTTGGCTATCAAATAGTCTCTGATTTTTTATTTTATTTATTTATTTATTTATTTTGAGACAGAGTCTCACTCTGTCGCCAGGCTGGAGTGCAGTGGCACAATCTCGGCTCACTGCAACCTCTGCCTCCTGGGTTCAAGCAATTCTCCTGCCTCAGCCTCCTGAGTAGCTGGGATTACAGGCGCACGCCACCATGCCCAGCTAATTTTTGTATTTTTAGCAGAGACAGGGTTTCACCATGTTGGCCAGGATGGTCTCCATCTCTTGACCTTGTGATCCACCCACCTTAGCCTCCCAAAGTGCTGGGATTACAGGCTTGAGCCACTGTGCCTGGCCTAAAGTCTCTGATTATTAAAATGACTAATAATCATGTCACAGTGACAAACAAGGATGTAACTTCCCCACCAAAAATGTTCTTTCATTATGGAAGACACCTACATATGTTTGCAAACTTTATCTAATTTTCATCTACTTAGGTTAAAATAGTTTAATGCAGCAACTTCTCAGATTTATATTATTTTGACCCAATACTAAAAATGTAGGAACTAGAAATACAGAGTAGTTTCTGTCCTTAAAAAAAAAAAAAAAAAAAAGAAGAAAAGAAAAAACCATCTGGACAATACTGAAATAATACGAAATTTTTAAAAAGGGTCTTTCATATCCAAAAATATATAAATCGGAAAAAATCCTCATGTAAACAGCAAAACATTTAAAAATAAAGTTGAAATTATTTTTTTTCTGGAATAATAAACATATGTAATAACTATTACATGTATATTACATGTTATTTAAGTCAAAATGAAAAGTAATTTACTATAATGCAGTAGCACATAACTGTTATGTAAGAGTGGTTGCAGTAAATAGGATTGTATACAAATATACCTATTTCCAAATAGTTTTAAAAATAAAATTGAAGAACTTTATTTATTTATTTATTTTGAGACAGAGTTTCGCTCTTGTTGCCCAGGCTGGAGTGCAATGGCGCATTTTCAGCTCACCGCAACCTACGCCTCCTGGGTTCAAGCAATTCTCCTGTCTCAGCCTCCCAAGTAGCTGGGATTACAGGCATGTGCCACCACGTCTGGCTAATTTTTTTTGTATTTTTAGTAGAGACGGGGTTTCACCATGTTGGCCAAGATGGTCTCGATCTCTTGACCTCGTGATCTGCCCACCTCGACCTCCCAAAGTGCTGGGATTACAGGCATGAGCCACTGTGCCCAGCCAAACGTTTTTCTATTTAATAATTAGGAAGGGTTCAATACTAACTTAAGATATCGTTCACATATGAACCACAATAAGATTAAAATTACCATACCATTTGCTGAATCCTGTGAAAGCTCTTTCCATGAAAACTAAAGGCTTGTTCAAATAGGACTTTATCTTCCACTGTCCACTCATCCGGAAAGGGAGTGAAATTAGGGAGATCAGCAAGGGACTTCTCAATGTTATGTTTATGCCAGAACAACATGCCAAGTGCCTTTGAAGAGAAATCATTCCCCTTTGGTTTTAATGGATTTATGTTCCATCACACTTAAGAAAGTTAAACACAAATCAGATTAAAATCTTAAGCCTATGACTTCAACTAAAGATAGACTCACAGTTTGGGACTTTAAATCAGGGGCGCCCAGGTAGCAGACCTCATTTATTTATTTCTTTTAAATCAGGGCCTCAGAACAGTGAATGTTCTTACATACCATATTTGCTGCAGAATCTAGGAAAAACAGTGAGCTGAGGACAGTGACTACAAAGCAGACTTGTAGGTTCATACCAAGAGTTTAACCCACATTTTAAAATTTGTCAATAATATGTAGGAAAAAAATATGCTAACAGGAATATGTCCAGTAAATCCATACTTGAATGAAATGATCAGTTATGCCATAAAGCCAGAAATGCTCAGTTGGGGCTTAGAAGAGAGATATTTAAGTTTTAATCTTTTACAAGTATATCACAAACTAACCATGTCCAAGAAGTAAAAGAACCTCCAATGCAACTTTTTTTTTTTACCACATTTAAGTTATTATCAGAACATATAAATAGATTTATTAGGAGGCATATAAATAACTGCAATGACTTGATTACCAAGTCATAACAAAGACTGAAATGGACAATTTCCAAAATTTCCGTAACTTTCCCTTCTATTTTAAGTAGTAGGCCTTTCTCTTTATTATAGGGTATTAAGCATCATTTAGGGGATAAACTTGTATTTTCTAAGAAGAGATATAGCAACTTTTAAAATAGTGAGTTTGATCATTTCTATACTTTGATAACATCCTTTAAAATACACAGGAAAATGAACATACATAGTCATATTTTAAAGGATTAACTTTCTCAAATATTAAGCAGAAAGGCAAGGCTTAAAAACAAAATATGCAATCAAAGTCTTCAAAACCCACAAAAAAGTTAATTACATTTAGATAAGATACAGATAAAATAAACATCTCAATTGCACAAAAATATTCCTTTACCATGTAACTGAACTATAAAGTTAGCTCTTGATAACCCAGATTGCAGATAATTTACCTTTCTTACTTATCTTAAAACAACTCTACCTATTTTACTATTAATTCTGATAGGTTGAAATACTTACTTGAAATCAGATGTAAGATCTCTTTCATTTCATTATTCCATATTTTTCATTCCCTCATTACTAGGGATAATGAACCATGTATTTGTCTCTCTCTATATAGTATATTATACAATATATAATACAGTATATAACATAATATATATTATATAAACACATTATAGTATATTTAATATAACTCATCTCCATGACTATATGTTACATTTACTAAATTCAATGACATTACTATATTTTGTATTCAGAAAAAGATTAATCTGTGTGTAGCCAATAGATCTAATTATAGTGTAAAATATTAAGATAATTTCTTGATTTTGTTACAATTTTTATTTGAAGAGACTTAACTCTCTACATAGAGACAGATATATCAAATATAGATACATCCTTTTAAAGTTATCTAACAAAAAGAGCCTTTCATGATTTCATTCAAAATTTAAGTCTTAAATATTCCGTTAAAGTTTAACTTTTAGATCCTGTAGAACAAAAGTCAAAAGAGAATTATCTGTATCATTAAAATTTTTTATAAATAAAAGATTTGTTTTAAAGTTATGCCTATGTACATTTACTCCAAAATACACCAACATCTTAACTTTTCATTTTGGTAAGCATTTGCCAGAGGAATACTAAAGGCTTCCAGAAGCTTTCAGAACTCAAAGTAGAGTAAGAAACAGGTGTATTCAGAGAAATATTTAAGCCCTTGAGATAAATAATGTTTATCGCAAACTCCTGCCGGGCGTGGTGGCTCACGCCTATAATCCCAGCACTTTGGAAGGCTGAGGCGAGAGAATCACGAGGTCAAGGGATGGAGACCATCCTGGCCAACATGGTGAAACCCTGTCTCTACCAAAAATACAAAAATTAGCTGGGCGTGGTGGCGTACACCTGTAGTCCCAGCTACTCGGTACTCGGGAGGCTGAGGCAGGAGAATTGCTTGAACCCAGGAGGTGGGGTTGCAGTAAGCTGAGATGGAGCCACCGCACTCCAGCCTGGCGCCTAGCGACAGAACAAGACTGTCTCAGAAAAAAAAAAAAAAAAAAAAAAAAAAAGCAAACTCCTTATTATTGAAAGGTCACACTTTGCTAGGACTTTTGTGGTATTTATAAAATAGCTGTTCAAGCTTACACACTCTGTTAGGACAGAAACGATCATGAGCTACTCTGGATTTGGTAAATATTGAGACAAGGCTTCCTATTGAAGTGTTCCTCTACATACCTGCTCCACATTGTAGCCATGCTTCTCCTTTGCAATTGCAATGTATTCATCCACTGTAATGAAATAACGTTATATAATTAATTATTCTCATTTACTTCCTTTACCTAGGTCTACTTTTGTTCTTAACAAGCAAAATAAAATAACTTAGATTCCAGAGTAAAAAAATAGCCAAAGGCACCTCCCATGAAATATTACAAAAAAAAAAAGACTTATAATAGCAAGATTAGATGCTCACCTGGTTTAAAATTTTATTTAGTATAACTTACCTCTATGACTGTACATTATACTTACTAAATTCAGACATTACTATATTTTTGCATGCAGAAAAAGACCAATCTGTGGGTAGCCAATAGAGCTAATTATTGTATAAAATATTAAGGTAACTTTTCTGTTCCAATCTTTATTTGAAGAGACTTAGCTGTTTTAAGACCCTTTCACATATTTAGAGTTGTTCCAAAGCCTTTACCATTCCATTTTTTAATGATGTATAAATGACGGTTTATCTGGCCATGTGTGGTGGCTCACACCTGTAATCCCAGAACTTTGGGAGGCCAAGTGCATGAATCATGAGGTCAGGAGTTTAAGACCAGCCTGGCCAACAGGGCAAAACCCTGTCTCTACTAAAAAATATAAAAAATTAGCTGGGCACGGTGGCAGGTGCCTATAATCCTAGCTACTCAGGACACTGAAGCAGGATAATCACTTGAACCTAAGAGGCAGAGGATGCAGTAAGCCGAGTTTGTGCCACTGCACTCCAGCCTGGGAGACAGAGCAAGAGCAAGACTCTGTATCAAAAAAAAAAAAAAAAAGGATAGTTCATCTATAGTTTCGCCAGCTACACATAATAATGACACATTTAAGTATGCTTCAGTATGCCTAAATTTTCTTCAGTTCTTTCTGCTTGTTATACAAAGCGTGTTTTCATTTATCTTCCACATGTAATTAAGCCAACAGAGTTATTTAGATAAGCAGTTTCAATGATGATAAACTGGCTGTAATTTCAATGGCTCACTGCTGAGAAGTATGCCACATTCACTAGAACTCAGTTTTATGTGAACTCCATATAATCACTCTTCCTTGATTCTAATTAATTTTTATATGTGTGTGTATAAATTAATTTTTTATAAATATTTTTGAGAAGGAGTGGTTAAGAATCCTGATCCTGGAACAGCTAGTTTCCCTGGGTTTAATTATCAGCTTATTGCTAGCTTTTTGAGTTTGACCAAGTAACTTGACCTTTTGGACCTTTGTTTCCTTACTCTAAATTGCTGTTAAAAACAGTATCTCCCTCCAACAATTAAATAAATTAATAAAAAAGAACAGCACCTGGTAGATTTTAAGAATTGTTAAGTATTTGCTGCAATTATTGGTCAGTACAGTCTAATATATGAATATGCTATTATAACTATTAATAGCCAATTGAATTAGCAGTTAGAATAAAAATTTTAAATGTATGCTATCAAAGCTCCCCCCAAAGGGTAAGCTTTTTGTGTACAAAATCCAAATCTTATGTTGTGTTTAGATCCCAAAGCACTTAAATACATGACAGGTCTAAATATATGCTGAACAATATCAACAGTATCAACTGACCTGTGGTTCCCAACCCTGGCTATTCATTACAGTCAGTGTGGGAGCTTTTAAAAAGTTAGACTCCACCCTTGAAGTCTCTGACTTAATTGGTCTGAGAAAGACACTAGACATAGTACTTAGAAAATAAAAATAAAAAACTCCCCAAGTGATTCCAAAGCACAGCAAGGGTTGAAAACCATCGCCCTAGACCTTCATACAGACCAGGCGTCCCCAAACTTTTTACACAGGGGGCCAGTTCACTGTCCCTTAGACCACTGGAGGGCTGCCACATACTGTGCTCCTCTCACTGACCACCAATAAAAGAGGTGCCCCTTCCTGAAGTGCGGTGGGGGGGGCGGATAAATGGCCTCAGGGGGCCGCACGCGGCCCGCAGGCTGTAGTTTGGGAACGCCTGATATAGACATTCCACATCAACACTACACTACCAGGACATGCTGGCTAAATTTTGTTTTCCACTTTGCTACGAAATGAACTATTGCACTAAACAGAATTAAATCAGCAAAATTCAATAATACCCTGATACTCAGTTTGTAAATGAAAACCTTTGTCTGTAATGAGGATTGAACCTGGGAAACCAATAGTCTCTTTCAGGTTCTCATTAAACAGTCCTAGGCCATATGAGTAATTTCATGCTTTCTGTTAGGAATGCTTCAAGGGCACACAATTTCTAGATTACCAGCTAGACCTTTTACTGGTGTTCTATAGCTCTTAAATAGAAAGATTTATTAACTATGCAGAAACATACTTAGCTTTCAATTTTTAGCTCTCTTATTGCATCAATAAGCATGATTTGACTTAATACACATGAAAGGATATCATTAATTTTCATGGGACGAAATAAATCATAGACATCTTTAAGATGTTAGTAAATATTCTAAAAAGACAAGCTTATCTTATAGCTGCTAGAATTAACTGTTGAGTGTCATCATTGTTGTTGTAGTTGTTATTTAATAAACTCAATGATAACTGAATGGAGGGGCGGGGATCTTAGTGTTGTTACCTGCACGTTTCCTATATCTGATGTGCCGCAAAGGATCAGGTCCGCTACATCACATTGAAGTCTAAAGCCACACCATGATTCAAGAAGTGCATGGTCAATGATCCAGAAGGTCTCCGTCCAGAAATGGAGAGCACAAAGATGACCTGATGGCTGCTGAAGTCAGTTCTTTCCCCTTTCCTCTTTAAAATGGTAATGATAGTGGGCTCTTTGAAGTTTGAAGGCATGTCTTTACAGCTCCATATACTGAGGAAAAGCCTGTGCAGATGTCTACATAGTAACTCCCTCCCCTGCTTGAGGATTTAAGCAGCAATGCCATCAGATCCTAGGTCTTTTCATTCTTCATGGGCCTGACACAAATTGGAATGATCAACCCACTATCTTTCAAAAGGAAAAACATTCTAATATAACAACCTCCATTAAAAAAAAACAAAAAAAAATAAAAGACAAAACTGTTTCTTATGAGAATCCAAAAAAACCCAAAAACAAATATAAGTCACATTTTGAATTGGCTGATAAACCCCTGCTGACAGTAACATTCAATTTCAGAAAACTTACATTTGGCATCTGGGATACTGTGATATGGAGACCATACAAGCATCCCTCCATTGTCTTTATCTGTGTACTTTGTAGCACCTGGGAAAAAAATTAATTACTTTGAATACGATAGATTTTATTTATATTGAAAATAAGTATAAAAAAGTAAGCTTTATTTCTGTTTTAGTACAGTACATGCTAAGGAGGACAAAGAAAATACAGGAAAACAGAGAAGGAAGACAGATTTACATTACATATATTAAGTATCTTGTTTACAAAAATTAAGGAAATTTTGCAAATGCTGGTTTATCCCTTTTAAACTAAAAAAGACTTTCTTCAGTACATTACATAGCTCTACTTGACCGAGGGTAATAAATCTGATTTAACTTTCCATACATTACTTAGGGATCATTATTAAAAATTCAAGACTTTTAAACAAGAGAGAATGCCTCAGGTACTGTTTTGCTCCATATCTAAATGGGCCAAAATAGCTGTAATTGTTAAACACTTATGTCTGCTTTTTCTTTTTTTTTTTTTTTGGAGATGGAGTCTCACTCTTGTCACTCAGGCTAGAATGAAGTGGCACAATCTCAGCTCACCCCAACTTCCACCTCCTAAGTTCAAGCGATTCTCCTTCCTCAGCCTTCGGAGTATCTGGGACTATAGACGCCTGCCACCACATCCGGCTAATTTTTGTATTCTTAGTAGAGACGGGGTTTCACTATATTGACAAGGCTGATCTTGAACTCCTGACCTTGTGATCTGCCCACCTTGGCTTCCCAAAGTGCTGGGATTACAGGCATGAGCCACCTCCCCCAGCCTTCTGCCTGCTTTTTATTTAATTGTATTTCTTGCTAAGAGTCTGCCAGCTATTCACTTTTAAACTTAAGTTCCTTTATTACATTTTATATTTATAAACTATATGCTCTATATTAGAAGTCAAGATAAAAACATAAAAAAAGGCTGGGTGCAGTGGCTCAAGCCTGTAATCCCAGCACTTTGGAAGGCCGAGGTGGGCAGATCACATGAGGTCAGGAGTTCAAGACCAGCCTAGCCAACATGGTGAAACCTTGTCTCTATTAAAAATACAAAAATTAGGCCGGGCGCGGTAGCTCAAGCCTGTAATCCCAGCACTTTGGGAGGCCGAGGCGGGTGGATCACGAGGTCGAGAGATCGAGACCATCCTGGTCAACATGGTGAAACCCTGTCTCTACTAAAAATATAAAAAACTAGCTGGGCATGGTGGCGCGTGCCTGTAATCCCAGCTACTCAGGAGGCTGAGGCAGGAGAACTGCCTGAGCCCAGGAGGCGGAGGTTGCGGTGAGCCGAGATCGTGCCATTGCACTCCAGCCTGGGCAACAAGAGCGAAACTCCGTCTCAAAAAAAAAAAAAAAAATACAAAAATTAGCCAGGCGTGGTAGCACACGCCTGTAATCCCAGCTACTCGGGGGGCTGAGGCAAGAGAATCACTTGAATCCAGGAGGTGGAGGTTGCAGTGAGCTAAGATCATGCAGCTGCACTTCAGCCTGGGTGACAGTCAGACTCCATCTAAAAACAGAAAGTCAAGATTAAAAAGTTAATGCAATTTCTTGTTAATACAATCTGAAAGCTTACCTCTAATCTAGAAGCACATTTTCTAATTTCTTTCTTTCTTTTTAAAAATGTGAAGTCTTGCTATGTTGCCCAGGCTGGTTTCAAGCTCCTGGCCTCAAGCGATCCTCCTGTCTCAGCCTCCTAAGTAGTTGAGATCAGAGCTGCATGCCACCACACCCAGCCTCTAATTTATTTCTAATATTTTATAATCTAGAAAGTCAGAAAAATCAACTCCTATTAAAACCTCATATAAATTGCCCGGGTGTGGTGGCTCATGCCTGTAATCCAAGCACTTTGGAGGCCAAGGCAGGTGGTTCACCTGAGGTCAGGAGTTCAAGACCAGCCTGACCAACATGGTGAAACCCTGTCTTTAAAAAACAAACAAACAAAACTTCATATAAATTAAGAATCAACAGCATGAATGAAGGCCCGAGACAGCCATGTCAGAGCCAAGTTACATGCCTGTAGATTCTTTTTTTTTTTTTTTTGAGACAGAGTTTCGCTCTTGTTACCCAGGCTGGAGTGCAATGGCGCGATCTCGGCTCACCGCAACCTCCGCCTCCTGGGTTCAGGCAATTCTCCTGCCTCAGCCTCCTGAGTAGCTGGGATTACAGGCATGTGCCACCATGCCCAGCTAATTTTTTGTATTTTTAGTAGAGACGGGGTTTCACCATGTTGACTAGGATGGTCTTGATCTCTCGACCTCGTGATCCACCCGCCTCGGCCTCCCAAAGTGCTGGGATTACAGGCTTGAGCCAAGATTATTTTATTTTAATCATTCAGTGATATTTTTTTGGTCTAATTCTTATTTGTATCCAATTCATTAAAACGATCAACAAATGAAGCATTGCTGCCACACGTTTTAAGGAGACTTTTCTTGGAATACATCATAAATGACTTCTACGTGGTAGTAATAACTACCACTAAGAGCCAGAATTCCAAAATTACACACATAAAATATTAAAATAATTCTGAGGTTGAACTGTAGTCTTTATTTATAAAGTTATAAGATACTTGGAATAAAAGAACACTCATTTCTAGGGGTAAGAGAACTACTATTAAAACCTCCATCTAGAGAAGTTATCTACCAGGCAGTAATTTAGTATCATTCAGTATTTTTATTTTTAGAGAAGCATCATACATTACTATCAACAAATTTTAAAGAATCATACGCCGGGTGTGGTGGCTCAAGCCTGTAATGCCAGCACTTTGGGAGGCCGAGGCAGGTGGATCACAAGGTCAAGAGATCGAAACCATCCTGGTCAACATGGTGAAACCCTGTCTCTACTAAAAATACAAAACATTAGCTGGGCATGGTGGCGCGTGCCTGTAATCCCAGCTACTCAGGAGGCTGAGGCAGGAGAATTGCCTGAACCCAGGAGGCAGAGGTTGCGGTGAGCCGAGATCGCGCCATTGCACTCCAGCCTCGGTAACAAGAGTGAAACTCCGTTTCAAAAAAAAAAAAAAAAAAAAAAGAATCATACATTGCTAGTAAAACAGAAAACTAAATTTATTTTTAAAATCTATGTATGTTACAAGGAAATTTAAGAGAAATGAAAGAAGAAACACTACCAAAGCATTAGAAAGCCTTCTGTATCTTGTCATATTTTTTTTTTATAATTTCATTTAAGGTACTGCAAATCAAGTATTTTGTCATATCTTTAATAAAAGAGGACACAAAAGCCTGAGCTGAGAATTTAGGAAAATACAAGTTAAGATTCATTATGTAAAATTTATATTCAATGAAAATAAACTTTGAGACATCATTTTAAAACTTTAATATTAAGATACACATTTAAGTTTTAACCCTATAAAATGAAAATACAAACACAAAATAGGCAACCACTCAATGGTAATAAAAATGGTAATAAAACAAAAATCCTATTTAAGTTGGTCAGAAGCCTTTACTTAATTCATAAAACCTAACGGTATACAAAGTGAATATCCTAAACTTCAATCCTTTAACATGGAACTGATTTATTTTGCATGATGGAATGGTGACAATAAGATCACTTAAATCCTACTTAACAGAACAGGAAAAGCAACAAAGAAAGTTTTCCATTAAGTCTCAAGTCTTAATGGCATATCATGCTAAATATTTAAACATAATTTCCCTCTATCTCATTTTTGCCTTACAGAAAGTCTGAATTAAAATGTCTTCATTAAATGTCCCTTTTTAAACAGATACGAAACTTTTTTTTTCTTCATAAAAAAATAACAGATACAGGCTGGATGCAATGGCTCATATCTATAATCCCAGCACTTTGGGAGGCCAAGGAGGGTGGATGGCTTGAGCCCAGTAGTTCAAGACTAGCCTGGGCAACATAGTAAGACCTTGTCTCTACTAAAAATACAAAAATTAGCTGGATGTGGTGGTGTGCACCTGTAGTCCCGGCTACTCAGGAAGGTAAGGTGGAAGGATCGCTTGAGCCCAAGAGTTCAAGGCTGCAGCAAGCTGTGACCACACCACTGTACTCCAGCCTAGGTAACAGAGCAAGACCTTGTCTCAATAAATAAATAAGTTTCAAAAAAAAAAAAAAATTCTTGGCATTGTAATTGAGAATCTGATCTGACAGAAACTGGCATCCAAGCTGTGGGAAAAGCTCTTCCAACACGCGGGAGCTGGCAGAAGACAGAGGTGGCAGACATAGAGCAATCGGTCTGATAACAGAGAATGCCTAATTAGGCATTTCACAATGTTCCTTCCCTAACTCAACTGCATTCCACTATTTTCAATTATATATGTGTCAGCTAGGTCCAAGAGATGACTGATACAGGAAATGAGGAATATTTTAGTGCAAATGGTTAACAGTGTGAACTATAGAGCCTAACTCCCAGAGTCTGAATGCCAGCCCGGCTACTTGGTAGCTGTGTTACCTTGTGTAAATCTATCTAATCTATGCACACCTCAGTTTTCCTTATCTGTAAAAATATGGATGATGAGAGTAACTACCTGACAGAGTTGCTCAAAAATTTAATTAAGTAAGTACCTGGCATATGGTAAGCATTACATAAGACAATTATTATTATTACTAGTATATGCTTATTGAAGACAGTTCTTTCTTAAGTTCCTTCCTTCTTTATCCTAAAAAGGCTTCTTCTCACCTTATCAACTAAAAAGCAAATGAATAAAATCTCAAGGAGGTATACCTCAAAAATGGCTGATATCCTCTCTAACTAACCCCTTGAAAATGAAATTGAATAGCTGTAATGACCTTTATGTTCTTCTGACAATTCAGACTGATTCCTCTCCTATAAAATAGGAGAAAGCAACGTGTGCTATTAAAAATAATTTATATATCTCTTAGGATGCTTTGCGCCCAATAAACTTTTACCTATTTCACTGTACACATCAGAATGAATTATAACATTAGACACTAACCCGATATTGATTTTGTTTTTTTCTGTAATAATATTTAAGAGTATACCTCAAAACTATCTGATATTTATTAACAATACTGAGACTCAAATCTGACTCACCAACAAAACTATGCCTTAGAAGTACC